TCAGAAGGTGGATGATGACCCTTGGCTCAGAGATGAGATGCATGCGAGAGCTAAAGACATCATGAGCAAGAAGACATGCCCTTTTCGGAGCTTTGCTGTGTGAAATTGAGCATGATGACAAGGGCCTTGTGAAGCAGATGGCGCATGGTTTTGACTTGGCAGGGCCCATACCCGCATCCGGTGTGTTCAAGAGGAAGCCTGCACTTGCAAGCCTCACCGTTGCTGATGTGCGAAGACAGGCCAATAGCACTCGGAAGGGCATCTTAGCTTCAACAAGAAGTTCGGGCGACGCTGCTCCTGACCATGAGCTACACGAGCAGACTTTGAACGAGGTCAGCAAAGGTTGGCTAGCGGGTCCGTTGGATTTGAATGTCCTGTCTTGTTCTGCGAGCGTAACCAGGCGGTTTGCTATTCGACAGGGGCCGAAGTGTCGTGCGATCGATAACTTTAAACCACACTTTGAGCAATATGGAGTCTGTCGCTGTCCACACAGCAGACGTGATCGCTGGGAGCTGGCCGACAGGTTTGATTGTGCAAAACACCTAAGTAAAGGTGAAGACCTGGTTGCTCAAGCATGGGACCTCAGGAGCGGTCACAGGCAGTTGTGTGTCAGCACTATATAACGCTGAAATCTTCTTGCAGGTAGTCTTGCCTTTCAGAGCTTGCACCTCAGTGACAGGGTGACAGGGTTCATCCGGGCTGCTATAGGGTTGTGGTCCCTTGGAGCAAGTGGCCTTTCCCTGCACTGGAGTAGCTATTTCGATGATTTCTTGATTTTCTCAAGTGCAGAAATTGCCCGGCGCACCGAGTCAAGTACGCGCGTTTTTCCGCTTGCTTGGATGGGAGGTGTCTTCAGACAAACTTGCGAGTTTTGACACGTGTGCAAAGGTGCTGGCGATCTTGGTTGATCTTTCTGACTGCCTTTTTTCCGTGCCGCCTGAAATACACCGCTAAACGTGTTGAAGATATCAGCAGCCAAATGTCAGAAATCCTTGCCGAAGGATTTCACAAGGCAGGAGTGTTGGCTTCTCTTAGGGACCGCTTGCAGTTTGCTGAAACTCAGATTGCCGGGCGGCAAGTGTGGAGAGTCATGGCGGTTGTGCGCAAAGAAATAATCACTAAGCCCAAAGGCTTTTCGGTGTCGAGTGACTTGTACCAAGCGCTGACATTCATGAGAGAGAGAGGATCTTGAAACGGCCTCCACGCATAGTGAGTTCAAGAACTTCGTGCGCCTGCATCATCTTTGTTGACTTGCTGTGAAGATAGCCTCTTTGGAGTCGGCCGTGCTAGTTTGGACGAGTGACGGAGTCTCCGAGTTTTTCTCAACAGAAGTGCCCAAACACTTGATGCCCTTCTTCAATAGAACTTCCAGCAAGAACCACATTATGAACTTGAAGCTCTTGCAGTTGTGCTCGCGCTCAAAGTGTGGGCGGAAAGCATAGCTCAAGGGCAGATCCTCTTGTGAGCCAAAACCCCAATGGCTGACGGACTGGAAGCCGACACTCAGTCTAGAGTTTGGTACGAACGTGTGGCGTCGGAAAGTAACATCGCCGATGGGCCGTCTCGAGGCGACGTCAGTGTAGCGAGCGCTCAGAGAGACGCTTGCTTGGTAGCAGTCCGCACTGACTCACTGAACTCTTTGAGCTGGACTGGTGGCCTTGGGTGAAAGGGAGTCTACGTCTATGTGTTTGCGGCGAGTGTGGCGAGTGCCATCGCTTGCATGTGCAGGACTGCCGTTTCGAGAAAAGAATATGAGTTCAAGAGTGCTCTAAATTTACATTGTAGATTCTATATGTAATGAGTTTTACATAAGAGTTTGAGTTGATGTCGGTTAGTGACATTTGGCTCACGTACTGTCACGATGTTGCCATCGTAATCCAGATGGACCTGGGAAACTTGCTCTTGACTTGTAAATGGGGCAAATAATGATTCTGACTCAGGTTTGGGCAGCAGTTCGACCCCAGCTGTGACTCGCCTGAGACGAAGCAGGCGGTGCAGGCGAGACAACGGGATTCCCCGAAACACGGCACCGCGCGGGGCTCCGATTCATTTCGCGAGGCGGCTATGACGAATCCCGGAGACTGGGTGCTGAAACCGCAGGCCCGGTTTGCGTGAGCCGAGTTTGGGCTTGGACTTGTTTGAGCCATGGTGGCAGGTTGGCGTGGGGGTTGGGGGGGGTGCACAGGGAATTCGGATCACAATTTGCAGGATTCGTGGTAACCATATTTTAAGGGGAAACGAAAAGGAAAACCATTTAAAGGCTCCCCCGATTTTGCGACAACCTACTGTGGATGGACGAAATCCTGGAATATGCTTCTCCTGTCAATACCAGCAAGAAATGGTTTTCCCCTAGTTTGCAAGTGGTGCGAAATGGATCGCGTCCATCCACAGTATGGAGCTTCTTGACAATGGCCATGGCGAGCGTCCAGATGCGAGAGTCCGAGGTGGAAGGATCTGGGGAGCTCTATTTTGATGAGGACATCCCCCGCGCTTTGGCTACACGCTTGGCGCGGGGAGTTCGCCCAAAAAGGTCTGGCCGGTCAGGTGGTCCAAAGCTACCAAGGTCTATTTGGGTGTGTGTTTTGTTTGGGGGGGAGCCCCAAAAATGGCTCCGGTTTTTCGGTTTTGGAGGTAGCCTCCAAAAAAGATGAGCCAGCCCTTTCAACCCTTGCAACCAACCTGCATGGAGTGCCAGGTATGCTGACCAGTCGGTCTCAAGACCAACTGGCGGAGTTTATCCTCATGGAACGGGTGAGGTGGGGGGAGAGCCACTGTCAGTTGTCAGTTTGGGGGGGCGGGGGCAAAGGAGAGGGCTTCTTTTCAAATCCGGGGATCTTCCAAAAGGAGTACCGACAAAACAGGGCCGGCTGAGGTCGTCCCTATCCATGAACCCAGGGATTCCCTGAAAGGAACCCACCAGTTGGATGGTTCATAGTTTTCATTCCACTGTTGCCTAATTTCTGTACACTTTTCCGTGTCTTTCATAAACCTAGTTTCATTTCTAATCCATCCATGGCACCATGGGCCATTTTTTCTATGCCAACCCCCCTTGCCCGGCCCGCTCCTCGCCGCCCGGGGGGTGGTGCCCGGTCAACTTCCCCTTGCAGGCCGCCGTGCACCCCGTCGGCGGTGCTGGGCCCTGACGGCAAGGTGGTGCTGCGATCTGCGGCGCCTTGCCGCAGATCGCAGGGGGGGGGGGGGGGGAAAGAAAAAAAAACACAAAAATCCGCCGACTCGGTTCCGTTTGCCACACCCCTGTCCAGTTGTTGTTTTGTTTTTTCTCTTTATTTTCTTCTTTTTTTCCTTTGCGCCTGTGATGCTTGAAAGGGAGACATAGATGCGGGTGCTCCGAGCTTCACACCTTCAAAACGCCTATTCAATAGATTAGATGTAGGGATTAAGCATTTCTGAGTCTATTCTATGTGATGCCTTGAACTCTTCACGTCAATTTTACATGTCTCCACAGATTCCCTGTCCTTTGGTTGTTCTTCCTTCTAATTTGAATTGCACCGGTGTTTGATTGCTTTTAGACGGTGTGTGTTGTGCTTCTAATTTAATTCGAGTTTATACTCTTCGCACCATATATTTTCTCAGTTCGTCTCAAACATATTCTTTTCCAATCCTATGTGCTTACATTTGTCGGGGTTGCTTTTTCACTTTCTTTTCATCATATTTTGCCTTAAGCTGTTTCCTTGGAACAATGTATTTTGATTTAATACATAGCTTGATATCTGCGTTAACGTGTATGTGTCGCGCAAACATAGATTCAGAGAAAACACACGTATATTATACATCAATTGAATGCCCAAAGCTTCTAACTATCATATGAATGATATGCTATAAAAGGCTTAACCCCTGATGACTACACCCGGACCATGGAACAGCACTCACAAGCAGATGGTTAACATCAGAAAGGACGGATGGAACAAAAGCAGACAGGTCAGCAAGACTTAGACCGCCGAAAGGCCAAACCATAATACACAGAAGAGCAACATATGGATGCGCAACCAATTCTGTTTAGTCATGTTTCACCGCCATTTGTATTCGAGGGTCTCGCCAGACAGCGGGTGCAAAAAGGGGCAGAACTGGCCATTAATCTGAGATCTTTTGCTTACAGGAAATATGTGTTGCTTTTGCTGAATTTTGGAATTAGAGAGGCTCGTGGTTTATGAGTTGGGAGCCCCCCCTTTTTGCTCGACTTCACAGGAAATCCCAAGGGACACAGGGGGCTGCCCCAAGTGGACGGATTCACCCGGTCGCCGGGAAACGGAGTGCCCAAGCCCAAAAGAAGTGCATTGATTTTCTGGCCTTCATCCTTTTTTTTTGCCTGGGCTCCTGAAGGGGTGGGTTTTCCTTTTGGCTCCTCTCTTGAAAACCCCTCCAAAGGGGGCTACCGACTCCCAAGCACGCACTCAGAGACTCACAGAGGGGTTTTCAGCGGCCTGAGGTGGCTGAGCTGGGCATCTTCGGGGCCTTTGTGGCCGCAGGGAGCCAGGTGAAGTGCAACAAGGCGCGGGTTTTGGTGCGGCAAAGCGGCGGGGATCGCTGGTTGGAGAGGTGGGGTGCTGCAACTAAAAGAACAATCGAGGCAGAGGTACTGATGGACGAAATCCATTTCGCACCACTTCGAAACCATGGGACACCCATTGTTTGTTGGTATTTACAGGGGAATCATCATTCCAGGGTTTCCTGGGCGGTGCGAAATGGATTTCGTCCATCCACAGTAAACCCAAGAAATTCCCCCAAGGGCTTTGAGCGAAACTCCAGGAATCCAAGGGAAGCCCAAGGGAAACTCAGGGAATCCAAGAAAAAAACCCAAGGGAACCCTGGGAAAGCCCAAGAGAGACCCAAGGGAAGCCCTAGGAAGACCCGCAGATTCCGCCGCGAGAGTCCGTGTCTTCGTGATGCGTTTCGAGTCCGAGGCGGTGGGGCACCTGTTGCGCTCCAAGGGGCAGCAGACGAAGCAGGGCGGCGTCTTTGTGGGGAACGCCCCTCGCAGTTGGACGTGGCCAGCCGTGGAATTCGAGCTGTGAAGAGAGAAAAGAAATTGGCATGGCGGTTGATAAGGAGATGCGCCTGGCGAAAATGGGGCCAAAAGACTAAAACCTGGCGGTTTGCCCTGGCTCTGTTGTGTTGAGGCACCCAGATGGCGAACATTTCCTTGCGCACTTGCGCCAGATATGGTTGTCTTTTTGTTTGGATAGGACCCAAATCCACTCTGCACCAGTTGGTAGGTGGTTTGTTTCATTTAGGGTTTTGTCCATCCCAAGTGGGTGTGACCCAAGAGACGGCCCAACTTTTGGGGGAGTCTCAAGACAAGACCCGTGTGAAGTTGTGTGGTTCGGCCCCTTTGGGCGACAGGTCGAGGGCGGTTGGGTTGGGGGGAAAACGCCTCCAAAGCCCTTTGCAACGAGTTTTTCTTCGGGAAATGGTTCTGAGAGGGGCCGAAGCCAATTTCCAGACAATCCTTGGCTTGCAATGTTGCAAGGCTTCAACCAAGCCTGTTTGTCTTCTCAGGCTACGGTGGATGTCCCCTTCCTGGTGCCGCGTGACGTCTTCTGGCGCTCTGTTTTGGGTTGACGTGATGGACAAAAGTGCGCTCACGGCATGAGGACCTTGGCGCAAAAGCAGCAGAAACCGTGTGTCTCTCGGTACATGACCAGCCAAGTAGCATCCAAAGGAAGAGCATGACACAGCGGCGGTAAGACACTTGTGTTTGAAGAAGATAACGGCGTTCAGCAAGCAAACTGGCCGGTACCAACTTGCCTTTTCAGAGCCTTTCAGCCAATCTAAGTGAGGCGACAGATAGGAATCTGCATAAGGACTTTGCATGGCGGGCAACAGCCATGTTGTCCCGCTCCAGATTGGAGATGGGGACACATATTCCAGGAGCTGATTACATGCATTTGATGAGTGGACCATTGATTCAGTGACCCTTGGCCATGTTTAGGGAAACTGACCCAGGTGGGCCATACATATCAACTAGAAGCTGGTTGCATAAGGGATAGCAGTGTTTCAGGAAGATTGCCCCACCAGCACGGAAGTCCCTAGGCCCCTATTATAAAACTACCTCCTCTTGGAAAGTGGCTTTGTGCACTTCACAAGTTGGTTGGAGGATACCGCAGAGTCCCACGCACCCATTTTTGGTGCATGGCAGGAGACGAGTGTGGCTGGGCCACGAGTTTGTGGATGAGGAGAGCTGCAAATGAGCCCCTGAAGAGCTGGTTCCTCTTTGTTTGCTTCCATCTGCTTCCCAGAGGCTCCTACGGCTTTCAATGGACCCGACCCCTCCATTGGACAACCGGTGTTTGGGGTTCTCAAAACCTGGCAAAGTTTGAGGGCCCAAAAAACATCGGGAGCCTCTGGGTTAAGAATATTCTTATTTTCCGCTGGCTTTAAAGCGAATCGATTTCATTCACTACTGGATACATGTTCTTCTCTTTTCCAGGCGATTAAGCAAATGGTTGTTTCGGAGTCAGTTTCACGGCAAAAGGAATCCACAGCTGCGTTGCGCAGCTGGAACGGGGGCAATCTTTGCAACCAAAAACAACCTCTTTTCGGATGGCGTTGCCAAGCAAGCTTGGCTGTGGGTCAAAAATAGGTACCCGTTTTGGGAACCCTGGTAAATGAAACCAAAGACTAAAACCTGCGGTCCCCTGGTGGTTTCATTTTGACTCATTCCCACTTTGTCAGGAGACCATGCTGCACGTGAAAGGGGTGATCTTTGCCGCGGCCATCATGGCCGGCTTTCAGGCCGCTTTGGGCTTTGGGCGCAAGCGCTTGCGGGATTTCTCCTCCAGTTGGGGCACCTGGATTTTTCTGCTTCGGGGAGAAAAAGGGGGTGGGGCGGGCTGGTGTGACCAAGCACTTGGTCAGCTTCCCTCCAACGGGGGGATAGTTTGGTTTCCCATTTGCCCTCATTTCGACCGAGCTTGTTTGTTTCAGGACTCGAGGAGGCATCCTTGTTTCCTTTTGGCTTCCCCTTAGAAACGCCAACCAAAAAGGGGGCATGAACTCCAAAAAACGACTGACATGAACTCCAAAAACGACGGACATGAACTCTAAAAACGACGGACATGAACTCCAAAAACCACTGACATGAACTCCAAAAACGACCGACATGAACTCCAAAAACAACTGACATGAACTCCAAAAACGACCGACATGAACTCCAAAAACGACGGACATGAACTCCAAAAACGACGGACATGAACTCCAAAAACGACGGACATGAACTCCAAAAACGACCGACACGAACTCTAAAAATCCACCGACCCATTCAGAGAGGCGCCTTTTTGGGCGCCAGAGGTGCTGGCGCTGCTGCTGGCTCCGGCATCTGGCCACCACGGCCAAGGATCGCCGGGCGCTTGGAGTGGTCCGTGGTGGGTCATCGCCTGAGGCCCCCCCCCCCCTTTTGGGGCAGGGTTGAAGGGAAACGGAAGAGGGACCATGCGTTGGCATCTTTTTTTGGGGGGTTAAAGGGAACGAAAGAGGGACAAGGGGGCGTTTTCTTTTTGGAGGGGTCCCGAAATAAATTGGACTTGCGTCTACCGGCTTTTTTCTGTACAAGGCCTGAAAAACAGCACGTGGTTTTCGTCAGGACATGCCTCACAGGCACAGAACCAGGTTGTGCCTTTGCACAGGAGGGCACCAGGTTCGGCTTGCCATGAGGCATTTGGCACGGCGACTTCAGGCTGCTGAGTTTCCTGTGGGGAATGCTGCTGCCCGTCTGTGGGCGCGACCCTCGGATCTGTGAACCGTGAACCGCAACTTTTGCCTCGGCGGTTCGCAGCGTCTCCAGGTACCTGGGCGCTACACGCAACAATGCGTGCCTCATGGGCTGCTTCACTTGGATGAGCCTGGTGCGCGTCTCAAGCTGCTTGACAGTGAGTCTGTGCCTTTTTTCTAAACGGCACGCTTTTGGGGCCGGGTTTCAACGGAAATGCGCTTTTACATTTGAGATGCTCCCCCCATTTTGAGACAACCCATGTTTTTGGGGACACTGGGCAGAATCACGTTCCCACGCTTTCCTTTTGGTACCTTGCACAATGGCAATGTGTTCGGTCGCCGAGTTATCTGCAATCGCACAGCTTCTTACGCTGTGCTACGTTCTACTGGCCGTGGCAGTGATCAATTCAAACGAGGAGGCTCGGCTCGAGAGCTGATGGCCAAGAGACCAGAGATGTGGTTGGAGCACGTGTCCGGAACGGAATCCTTTGCTTTTCGTGGCTGGGAAAGGGAGTCCTGAGAACATCCGCCGGGTTGATTAGTCGGTCAAGTTGTGCGGCCGGCAGGAATTGTGCGATCTTCTTTGCGTTCATTTGGGCTGCAACAATCACAGCACCTACTGCAGCTGTGAGATAGGCAGGGGCGCAGGGCAATCTAGTGCATGGCTGTGGCTAAAACTGAGCCTCACTCAGCATGGATGGTATTCCTTGCACTCTCCCTTTAAGCCAAATGAGCCACAATCAAAACTCGGGTAGATGAAGGTTGGTAAGGGACAATCCCAAACATAACTAGCTGCGGCCGCCTTCTTATTTCCTTACATGGTTCTGGGCTTGGACCATTTTAGTTCGGGTTTTGGTTGTGACTCAAATGGGTGCCGTCAGCAATCGCACCCCCATCGATCGTTGCGCCAAACGTGGAAGGTCACTGCCGTTGGGAGGGGGGGGGGGCTGATCAAACAATCCCCCAAAGGCACCCAAAATGGCCCACGGGTAACTTTGCCCATGTGGTTGAAAGATCACCTCTTTCTTTGTTTGGCTTTCCGTCCCATGGTCATCTACCCACCCACCAATGGCAGAAAAACCACCTGCGGTCAGAGAAAACATCTCCCTGAGGCTGCCACGAGGGCGGCTGCTGCGCCGACTTTGAAGAGGCGCGGTTCCAGGCTGAAGCTCGGCATTTACTACAGGGCTCCTTAAAACATACATTTTGGAAATTTATTTGACACATGTTGCTTTTTCCAGCAAAAGCGACACCACCATTTACAAGTTGCAATGTTCGATCGGTGTTTTTCATGTGTCCGGATCCCTGTTCTAGGGGTTCCATATCCATTCTGAACTCGATCCGAATCTTTCTAGAAAACCTCCGGAATGGCTTTTGGAAAGAACGATGGTTGAAAAGAATGGTTGGAATCAACCGCTGGACATTTTGTAACGCCGCTCAACCCGTACGCCCACAATCCACACGGGTGAAATTTTCGGGGGGAAGCACCTCGTTTTGGAACGCGTGTGGCATTCGCTCGTTTTTGAACGGGGATGTTCTGGTTTTTTGGAACGCGCTTTTGCTCAAGGCAGCTGACACGTGAACCCCCAGCCCTTGGCCAAAACCCGACCCCACGCCAAAACCACAACTGGTGTTCCAAATTGATCTCCCTCCCTGCTTCTTTTTTGGGTTTGATGTTCCGTCCCATCCAAACCACTCCGACCGGACGCAGCAACATCGACCCATACTTCTCAGTCAAAGCCGCAAGCTTTGCCGATGATATAAACTTGAAGTCTCTGCAATCCTGTGCGATTCGGAGCTCTGCTTCCTTCCTCGCTTCGCTTGGCGCTGTATTCTCCATCTCCACTGAATGGCAGCCGTCCGAAGCCAAACCCTACACAGCAGAACCAAACGGCAAGCGTCGCCCAGGAGGGGGGGGAATGTTGAACATGCTCTGCCCCAGACCTTAAAGTGTGTTTAATTTCGAATCTTCCCTTGCCAAGGGCTGGGAGGATGAAAGTCTATTATTCCGTGCCCCGAGACTCAAACCTGTGCTCAACTTGTGGTTGCACACAAGGGAGCGAGCTTCTCCAATGTGGAGCTGTTTCCATGCCACGAGTCAAACATTTTGCTTGGCGGACATGTCTCCAAGCATGTCCACCACAGGCTGTGTGTTTCTGTCTTTTGTGGTTAAAGCAGCAGCCTAAGAATTGGCATGCCCCAGAACGAACGTCTAGCAAGAAAATTCAGCCAGAATCACACAGATTTTCGGGGATTCCCTTTGAGACAACGACTTTGACCACGGATTTCCAGCGCGCGGCGGACCGAAGCCCCGAAGCCCCGAAGCCGCCGACGTGACGAATCTTGAGGTCTGCAGCGCCGGCGTCCAGCTTCGAGCGCCAGCGAGCGAGGGGGCCAAAGGAGTGGAAAGGCCGATGCTCCCCAGGTGACCCGTGCTCGCTAGAGACCGGGTTCCTAAAAACTTGGAGTTCACCTTGGCCATTCTGAGCTTAGCCAAAGAAAAGACATGGGGCCTGGGCCCTGAGTCCCAGACCCAAAACCGGAATGGCGAGATGTCTGTGTCAAAATCCACAAGGAAGGATGGCTCGTGTTTCAGGTTGGACCCCGACATGGCGAGTTCACGGCCATCCTTTTGACTTCCCAAGCCCAAATTTGGGGGTAGCTCCTGTTGGGACGAGCCACCCATTTGGGCCGTGGTCAAGACTCCTTGTGCTGCCCAGTTGCGGCTGGGTGAACTGAAACTGCCGTTTCGGCCGTCGCGGCCTCCGCGAGCACCTCACAAAGCGGGTCTGTGTTTGCGTTTGAAGAGTTGGAGCCGCCTCGAACGTTGGACAGACATCCCCAAGGCTGAATGATGTCCACCAACCACAGAATTTGAGATAGGGCGTGTCTTGGTCTAGGGGACCTTTCCCCCTTTTCGCCCCCCTCCCCCAAGAAGTGTTCGTTGAAACCAACTGGCGCACAAGGGCTCTGACATGGCAAGTCGATCACCGCCCCGAGGCTGCGGCGACATCGAGTCGTCGCTCAAGGACCACACACGCATCGTCAGCGTGGCCGGGCGCTCTGCTCTGAAGATCTGTGCCGCGGCTAAAACCTGCGGTCCAATTCCTGGTTGAATTTTGACCCATACCACACATTCTCGCAGATGGGCGTGGCTCAAAATTACCCGGAGTCAATTTGTGTGGCCCTTGGATGGAAACAAGGACCAAAACCTGCGTAACCCTAGCTGTTCAAGTTTTGAGCCACGCCCATGGGTGTGTCTTGTTTTGAGGGTAACCCGGATTCTTGGGGAAAAGCAAAAGGAAGGCCGAAAAAAAAGGGGGTCCAAATTTTTGTAAAAAGAAAAGAAACAGAAACAGGAAGTCACTTTGTGCGCTCAAATCTGCCAATGTCGTGCAGCCCATCAGATGATGCTGCTCATCTCTCCTCCTGTCATTGGCCTCAGCGCCTGAGCCCCAGGTCTGAGCCACGTCGGGATTTGGGATCGTGGCGCGGCCTCGGGACCCCCCAACAGTCGCCTCGTTTTTTTTTTTTGGTCTTCCTTTGAGTCACCAAACGGGGTTCCCGAGACGGGCGGGCTTGGAGTTCTTTGAGTCGCTCAGGCCTACGCGTGGTTCCACGGCAGAAAGCTCTGGAGCCGCCTGGCGCAAGGCGAGCTGAGCAGAAGACATGCCCCTCGTGATGCGCGGGGGGCGGGGTAGAAGGGGCGGGGTGGGATTTTTTGGTTGGGCTCGGAATCAAAGTTGGGATCCAAGGCTAGAGGGAGTTTTTGGACACAAAGTAGACGATGAGTTTTTTACCGGTTGACAGTAAAGCCAAACGGAAGCACTACACGAAGCTCCCGGCCGAACCTTGTTTTTGCGGTTTGTGGTCCCTCAAGCAAGCGCCAGAGCTCACACTCATTTCTGGGGGGTTGGACAACCAGAAATAGAAAGTCCCCACACTCCGCTGGGGGTTGTCCAGAAATAGAAAGTGCCCCCATTTTGGTGGTGCTTTTTCTGTAACGCGCGAGTTGTCTCCAGAAATCGAAGGTGTCCCCCCATTTTGGTGGTGTTATATAAAACCCGCAGACTCGGCCCACGTCTTTGGTGCCCGATGTTCGGAGATCTTCATCGCCTCACAGGCGATGTGGTCCTGGCCGACGCGGCGAACCCGGCGGAGGTGGGCGTCCGAACAGGGACTCATGGCGGGCTCTCCATGAATGGCTGTGGTTGTCAAGCATACTGTGGAAGGACAAAATTTTGTCCATCCACAGTAGCCCCAAAATGGAAAACACATGGAAGCGACTAAAATCCGCGGTCCAGAAGCTGGCGGAATTCATTTTGGAGCCATACCCAAATCGGTCTCGTTTGTGACCCTTGAAAGGGAAACACCAAAAGAGAGACCTCGTCAAAAGGCGGGGTTGATGAGGGCTGGTGATGGACCACGGCGAGGTTTGACCGCATGACTTGACTCTGCCTGCAACGGGCGCGGCGAAATTCTTGCCGGGCAGGAGCAAGAGTGATGCGGAAGTGATCGCACCACAAGTGTGCCACGCATTTCGTGGGAGATGGCAAACCTTTGCGCTTGACGCACACGCTACGCTGCGCGGGCTTGCTTGTTCACACAAATGCAATCATGCTGTGCGGTCGAAACTCAAGCCAGATTGCCTTATTACGGCAAAGCAGAGGTGCTGGCTTGTCAAAATGAGAACTCACAGGGCGCCCAAATCCAAACGCGGCCAAAAAGCGTTGAACTTCTGAAGCTCCGATAGGGAGGCTGCACCTTTCCCGCAGCCATGGTGCTGGAGCTGGAGCGCGCGCTGCAGCTGCAAGACGAGCTCATCCAGGCGGGTTCTTTGAGGCTGCGCTTGCGCTTGAGATCGAACCTCTGCCACTTCCAGTCGTAGGTTTTCCTTAAACAACTTGGTCCAAGAAGGACCAAGCCAGGGGAGTGCCATGACACCAGGACCGAGTTTCGGGGCCTTCGAATGGCTTCGCCGTGGGGTTCCGGCGAAGCCGCAGAGGTCGTTCTAAATCGGTGGGTCCGAGAAAAGTCCTAGATTTGACCCCTCAAAGTGGGTTGGTTCCCTCTTGGTTTCCCTCACATCAGAAAATGAAGCAGATGTACAATGGCGCCTTGGTAGCGGAACCAAAGACTCAAACCTGTGGTTTGCCTTAGCTCTTTAATTTCGGCGCTTCCGTCTTTGGGCCACACGAAACATGGGGGAACTCACCCAAAGCCCTAGCAACACCCTCCGCTTGCAGCCACCCCAATGATTTCCCACCGGATGAGCAGCGTGAAAAAAGAAACACGTTTCTCGTGTTTTTGTTTTCTTTCTTGTTCATTTCTTTTTTTGGGAGGGGGCATGCAGATGGAATACCAACATACCTTGGTATTTCAGAGGTCCCACTCACGTGCTGCCAATACCTCGCCCATGTTAAGCCCATTTTGAGGCGTATCAAGGAGCCCAGGAGCAGCTCCGGCTCTATGCGCAGCAGATCAAGGCTGGCTCTTTCCGATATTTGTTTTTTAGTTACGGTGGCCATCGTTTTTTTTGGTCCAGTGGCGCCATTCAGGTTGGGTTGGTGAAACCCAATCCATGCATCTGTGTTTGTTTGGAGTTGGTACTTTTTTTTGGTTTTAAAGGGAAAACAACAGGAACACCAGCAATTTGCGGGCTTGCTGGTCCTCTGGGTAGGGAATGAAAATTGGAATGACGCTGAGAAGAACCATCCACGAGTTGGTTTCCTTCAAGGTGATCCCCAAAACCGGTTCCTTCCCAGAACCCGGAACGGTCCTTGCTCCCGTCCTGCCGAGCAGTTGGTTCCAAGGGAAACCTTCCCCCAAGGTCACGTAGGCCGATTTCGTCGAAGACATTTGCTACAGAGAAGCCCTTTCAAAAACAGCGGGCCGCAAAACAACAAGTACATGCAGCAGTGAACCTTTGGTCGCAAAAATGGAGAAAACACAGGCTTACTAACTTACTTGCTTGTCAACAAAGGATGAATCAATGGTGCACGAAGTGGTCAATCACCAAGAGGGAGCATGTTTACAGGGGTTTGAACACATCTCAATCGGGGAACTGGTTGATGGAAGTGGATGGTTTATGGGCGTCATTCTCAAATTCCCTGCCGAGAACCAGCAAAAACATGCTGATTACATTTTGTTTGGCGAGGATGGTGGCTCCAAGACGGAAGCCACCCATGGGCCCGAAATTGTTCGAGACACACGTTCGCCAGTTCGGAGGTTTCACCAAGGAAGCCAGAACATGTACCCATATGGCCATGGGTCAATAACCTACTCCATTTTTTGGGTGGATGAACATCCATTTGCCACCTATTTTGATGTTCACCAGGAATGGGTGTTGACAACCACAGCCATGTGGGTTCTGTTTTATGCTTCATGGTTGTCCATCCGGGTCAAGAATCAGAACTCAAAATGGGTGGTGGGAAATGAAAACCACAAAGCAAGCCTACTGTGGATGGACGAAATCCTGCACCGCCCAGGAAACCCTGGAAGGATTCGATTCCCCCGTAAATACCTTTCAACCATGGTTTCGAAGTGGTGCGAAATGGATTTCGTCCATCCGCAGCATCTCCGAGCTGGCCGTTTTGGGGAGTGCCCCCGTCCGTTCCTTGCGCTCGGCGCCTCGCAGCGACCTACGTGAGGACCGGGCGGACCCGGTGGCGGCGCTGAAGGCTGCGGAGGCGCGGGAGAAGCTGCTGCTGGATCTGCAGAAGCCCGTGGTGGCCAGGCGCGGACCAAGCCGGCCGACCCGGGCGGGGGGGGGGGGAAGGTGGGGGGGGGGGGTGGCGTGTGGTTTTTTGGTTTGTTTGTTTTGGAGGTGTAACAATAACTTTTTTTTTTTTTTTGGGGGCACCCTTTTGGTTTTCCAAAAGAAAGCTATGTGAGAAGGGTACCCACGATTCAACAAAAAACACAAATCCGACATCGCGGAGCTGTGTTTTTGGCGTTTTTTTCGTTGCCTTCACGTAAGCCTCACACCAGGTTGAAACATGGGAGAAGTCAATCATTTTTTTTGGGGGGGGGTCCTCTATGAGACAAGGCCAACATCGCTGGTTGCCTACTGGGGCCTGGGGTTTGCTGGGGATCAACCACTCTTTCTTATGGCGACCAGAGTGGTTGTTTTTTGCTCTTTCCAGCAATCATGGAAGTGAGATTGCAGTCTTCCAACAAGCTCTTGCGCACTTCCATTGTGAGAAAGAGGGTACTGATGACAACACCAATGGACACTTAAACGATGCTTGGCTTTAATCCGTGTTGTTCTCCGTATTTGCGTCAAAGAGTTGTTTTGACCATAACTTGCTTTGAGTGTGTGAACTGCTTTGGGCATACTGGGTTTCCGAGTAAGAGGGTAGGGGAGCGGTGCCCCCAAAAGCGCCTGGACTGTTGCTGACTCCAACTTGGTCTTTGATCCAGCGTGGGTCAGCAGAAATCGCAGCCATCTGCTTTTGGCTGCTTTGCATGGTGTTGGGTCCCAAGACGGATTTTTCGGCCCAGAAAAAAATCAAAAAACAAAACAAACACGCTGCACCTTCTGGCCAAGAGAGGTATGGTTTCGAGGAGTCCGCGCAGGGCGTGAAGGAGGCGATGTTTGAGTATGCGCGGATGTCCGGCAACAACTTGGCGCCCTACTCGGCTGTGTGCTTGACGCTTGCTTGTGTCAAGTGGGGGGGGGGGGAATCCCCGCATCCCCAATGCGTGCTGAGGTGATCAAACGAAACAACCACATGGAGAGACTGATAGCGGCCGGTGAGGACGTTTGTCGCACTTGAATGGCATGGAGTACGCAGCAACGTGATCTTGCATAGTGGGTCCAACGACTCGAGCGGAAATCGATTTCCATTTAGGACATCGACTACTATAACGGGGTGAGTGCGCAGCAGGCTCGGTCATTGCCAGTGTCCGGTACCGCTGTTTCCTCTTTAAGCCATCAGGAAAGATACTAAGACCCCCTGCCCCCCCAGAAAGCTTCTCCGAATCCTTCTAAGAACCCCTTCTAAGATTTGGTTTCCTCCCAAATCTGAAAGGGCCCATTTCAGAGTGTCTCGAACATATCGGACTCCCGTCTTGAAGCCACCATCATCGCCAAATTTGAAACCGTGGGCGTTTATGATAGGAATCATCACCCAGTGTTTGTTGGGGTGGTGCAGGATTGTGTCCAGCCACAGGCTGGCTTCCTTCCAACACCCTGGGTCCTTCCATACTGAGCGCCAGCAAGAACATCTACATGCGCCATGAGGATCGGTCCAATTCCAGCAGGATCTCGAGAACCCAAGCATATGTGTCAGTTCGGAGGTTTCACCCGGGAACCCAGAACCCAGTAATCCAGGCCACATTCTTCTACCATTCTCCAAGTGACTCCCTAGGTTTTCAAGTGGTAGGTGAAAGCGACACATCATCATCATCATCATCATCATCATCATCATCATCATCATCATCATCATCATCATCATCATCATCATCATCATCATTTTCCGACTTTGACAACCCAACAAAACCGTCCACAAATCCGCCCAGTCGTCCAGTTCCCAGACGCGCCAGTCGCTGCGGAACTTCGGGACCCGGAGACCGGTTCCGCAGAGCCAGTTCCCGCTGGTGGCGTGGGAGGAGCCTGGAATTGGTTCAAAGAAGGCCCAGAGGATGGCATCGGTGCCAGTCTTTGTTCCTAGTTCCTTTCTTTTTCTTCCCATGTGTGTTTAGACTTTGACATACTTCAACATCTGGTTTTTAACGGATCCCCTGTAAGTCATGTGGTTTGTGGGTGTATTCTCCAAGGAACACCCTCGAGCTCGGGCCAAATCGCCATCCACCATGCGTAGCTCAGGTTCGTTTTTGTATGCCCGGCGTTCTAGGGGTTGATTCCCCATTCTTTTCAACCAGCTTTCTTTTCAAACACCAGCAAATCGTTTTCCCAGGGATTCTGGAGGTTTTCAGGAAAGAAGGATCCCTAGAAAGAAAGGGGAAGGTACCCCTAGAGACATCGCTGGTTTCCGCCGACTGCTCACTAGCACTCGAGAGCAGGGGTTGGGCCACTGCGCTTCAAAAATTGAACAAGCTCACGTGGGTCTGTCTTTTGTGAGGGTGCCCTTTTCTTTTTGCTGAAAAGGGAAACCAGCCTCTTTTTTTTTTTGGGGGGGGGGTTCCCTTCAGAAAGACACCCATGTTGGTTGCATTTCGAGGTGGCCAGGGTTGTGCACATCTCCAACGCCGCTTACCTGCACAAAATCCCCTTTCGGGGTATTGTGCAAACCATGGTGATGATGGTTTTGGCTGGCCACTTGCTTCGAGTGGGCAAGATGATCTCATTCAACTTTCTAAAGTAGGGGGGATTTATGAGCAATTGGGATGGGAGACTTCATTCGGGTTTCACGAAAAGGACGTTTTGTTCCATGGGTCGGCTCGCAAAATCACCGGCGACTTTTTCGTTTGGATGGCTTCCCACTTGCTTGGAAGCCTTTCGCGATGCCCGGGAATGGAGACATGCATCAGATGGGTTTGGGGCATGGGCACACCCCAACACATGGTGTTCCGGTTGGTTGTTTTTTTGACCCCCTCGAAAAAACGGGTGCCAACTCGATGCCACAGCCCAGCCCACTTGCGTCTGGTCCTTTTGAAGGGCACATTTTTTTTTGTTTGAAGGGAAGCCCAAACCCGCATTTTTTTCGGTTTTGTTTGGGACACCCCCCATTTTGAGACACAACGCACACGCAGATCGTGCAGATCGCGCAGATCGCGCAGATCGCTCCAAGCACATTCCGCCAGGAGTTCCAGAAGTCCGTGGAGGGTCGCCTGCTGCCGGTGCCCCGGCACGACATGCTCTCCGCCCAGCGGACGGAGGCGCGAATCGGTTCCATTTCGGGGAGTTCGGGCGGTAAAAGCTTTCGGCCGGCGATCCGGCTGACTCGAACATTGTTTTTTCATTTTTTTCTTCTTCTTTGTCTGGAGGCTTCTCCCACGCGTGTTTGGGTTTCGGCACGATCGGTGTCTGCTTCTTTTTTTTTTTTTGGGGGGGGTGCTATTTTTTGAAGCGACCCTTGTTCTTTTGTTTGGCACGACCCCGGCTTCATGCTGGTGAAATCCCCGTGCATGTTGGATCTCTTTGGCGTTGGAGTGAGAGGGCTAGCTTGTTGCCTCCATTGCCAGTTGGGCAGACATAAATCTGTTGGTACCCTTTTTAAGTTTCAAGGAAATACGCGAAGGACACCATTCGTAAAATTTGTCTTGCGTTGGCGTTGGATTCTTTTCGGGGTTTGTTGAAGGACACCTACTTGTACGGTTTCCAGGCCCCATCTTTGGAGTTCCCGCTTGGATGTTTTTTGCGACGCCAGGAATCCCAAGACTGGCTTGCCGCCGGTGTTGTTCTCTTTGGCTGAATGTTCGACGGTGCTTGCATGAGAACTTGGCTCGCTTGGCACCGCAGCCAAAAAGCCCAACAGCCCAACAGCCTAACAGCCCAACAGCCCCACCAAAATGACCCACAAGACAATGGGCTTGGTTCACTTGTTGGCCAACGAGCCAGGAGCTGGTTGGTGCCTGCAAGCGGGGCGACCTGGCCAGGGCCAAGGCCTTGCTCGACCAGGCCTGTGGGGCCGCTGACTGCGATTCACGACAGTTGGCTGAGCTTGGTCATGAGATGCAGGTCTCGTGCGGGTCAGAAGTCCGATGCAACCGGGCAGCCATTTTGGCTTCAGGTTGTGAGCGCGCGCGGCCGGTGCTTGTTGGCACCCTGCGGGCGGATGGGACCCGGTGGGCAGTCGATCCAAGTGCTACGGTCAAGCCGCTCCAGCACCTCGCTCCAGCACGGGCCTGGCTCCATGCTGGTGGCTCCCAGCATCTCCTACGCGCCTTTGGGCGGCGGAGATGCGGCTGCGGGGCCGCTGGTGCGGCGGGGGCCGTCGGTCGTGACCTCCGTGACCGTGAAGAAGTCCGTGCAGTCCGTGCAGTCCGTGCAGTCCGTGCAGCCGGTGCCCATGTCTGGCGTCTCCAACGTGAGCGCTGGTTCCGGGAACTCCAGCCCCATCCGCCGCAACACCTCGGCGGCGCCCACCTTGGCGGCGGTGCCGGCCGTGCCGCCGCCGCCCGGGGATGCGGCCTCGGGGGCCGCGCGGGTGGTGAAGGTGAGCCAGGTGAACCAGGTGAGCCAGGTGAGCCACGCCGGCAGCCAGGTGGGGGGTGGAGGTGATGGTGTGTGGGTTTTTGGGTGAGTTGGTGCGGGCTTGTTGTGGAAGCCCTTTTACGTGGGAATCGGAACCCCCATATGAAGCATGCCGTCGCTCCATGTCCGTCGCTATCCGTCGTTATATTCCTGTCAAACATCCCGCTACCCCCGAAAAGGTTCGAATGAACCTAGGATCCCTCAGAAAACGATTTAGGGAGCAAAAGCAAAAGCGTGCTTGGACGCAAATCCCCAACTGGGTGTGGGTCAAAAACATGGGTGGTTTCCCATGCACACCGGATCAGGAGTTCAAATCCCGGAGCCAATGTAAACCACAAATTAAGAGAAACCTGAGGCGATTGCGGAAATTGGTTGAAATGGCCTCCTTGGTGCTTGGTGGGTCGCGCTACCAATTGCAGGGGGACGTTTGTAGAAGTCCACGATCGAAAAGGTAGCAAGTAGAAAGGTCGAAGGTCAGAGGGTGCTTGGGGCTCCATTTGTTATTCAGCCCTGGCAAGTGGAAACCAAGGCTAAAGCTTCAGCTTTCAGGTGGTTTCATGTTGACCCATACCCAAATGAGGTCCCCCACTGAAATTTCAAGGGGTTGATTCCCCCTTCTTTTCAAGCATCCTTGTTTTTTTTTTTTTTTTCCCCCGAAAGCATCGCGAAGGGTTCTTCCGTGCGGAGCCCTTGGACAAGTTACACAGAGCCAAGTCGCACAGAGCCAAGTTGCACAGAGCCAAGTTACATAGAGCCAAGTTACATAGAGCCAAGTTACGTAGAGCCAAGTTACATAGAGCCAAGTTACATAGAGCCAAGTTACATAGAGCCAAGTTACATAGAGCCAAGTTACATAGAGCCAAGTTACATAGAGCCAAGTTACATAGAGCCAAGTTACATAGAGCCAAGTTACATAGAGCCAAGTTACATAGAGCCAAGTTACATAGAGCCAAGTTACATAGAGCCAAGTTACATAGAGCCAAGTTACATAGAGCCAAGTTACATAGAGCCAAGTTACATAGAGCCAAGTTTAGAGCCATACATAGAGCCAAGTTACATAGAGCCAAGTTACATAGAGCCAAGTTACATAGAGCCAAGTTACATAGAGCCAAGTTACATAGAGCCAAGTTACATAGAGCCAAGTTACATAGAGCCAAGTTACATAGAGCCCAGTTACATAGAGCCAAGTTACATAGAGCCAAGTTACATAGAGCCAAGTTACATAGAGCCAAGTTACATAGAGCCAAGTGGCACAGAGCCAAGTGACACAGAGCCAGGTGGCACAGAGCCAAGGTTAGGTAGAGCTTGCGTAGAGCTTCGGCGTTAGCAGCTATGTAAGTTAGTTTAGGTTTCTAAGGCGCCGGGGCGGGAGTTTGATCGTCGCTGGGATTGCGACCCTCTGCGGAGATTCGCGTGGTCGAGGTTCAAAAACTGAGGACTTTTTACGATTTCTGCGGGCCGCGCGCGACCCTCTGCGGAGATTCGCGTGGTCGAGGTTCAAAAACTGAGGACTTTTTACGATTTCTGCGGGCCGCGCGCGACCCTCTGCGGAGATTCGCGTGGTCGAGGTTCAAAAACTGAGGACTTTTTACGATTTCTGCGGTCCGCGCGCGACCCTCTTCGGAGATTGTGCGTGTCGAAGCGCTCTGGCTGTGGCGCCGTGCAATATTCTTGCTCGCGAAACGGCCTTTGGAAGTTGTCTCGTGGTTTGCGCGCCTGCTTTCGCAATCCCGCGGTCGCGGGTTCGATTCCCCCTGGTCCGCGGCAGCTCCGGCTTGAAAATCGCAGCTTTTAAGTACAAACGTAGTACGCGGAGCGTGCAGCTCCGGCTGCAGAAACTCTGGAAAATCGCAACTTTTAAGTACAGACGTAGTATGCGGAGCGTGCTCCCGCAGCTCAGGCTGGAAAATCGCAACTTTTAAGTACAAACGTAGTACGCGGAGCACACCCCCGCAGCTCCGGCTTGAAAATCGCAACGTAGCGGGCCGTACTCCTGCAGCTCCGGCTGGAAAATCGCAACTTTTAAGTACAGACGTAGTATGCGGAGCGTGCTCCCGCGCAACTTTTAAGTACAAACGTAGTACGCGGAGCACACCCCCGCAGCTCCCGCTGGAAAATCGCAACTTTTTTTAGTAAAACAATAGTATGCGAAGTACATTCCCACAGCTCCGGCAGCACTTGCGCAGAGCAACTTGCGCAGAGTCACTTGCGCAGAGCAACTTGCGCAGAGCAACTTGCACAGAGCAATTGCACGAAGCACTTGCGCAGAGCAACTTGCACAGACCAACTTGCACAGAGCACATGCGCAAAGCGCTTGCACGGAGCAACTGGCGCAGAGCACTTGCGCAGAGCAACTTGCTCAGAGCACGTGCGCAGAGCAACTTGCACAGAGCACATGCGCAAAGCGCTTGCACGGAGCAACTGGCGCAGAGCAAGTTGCACAGACCAACTTGCACAGAGCACATGCGCAAAGCGCTTGCGCGGGGCAACTGGCGCAGAGCACTTGCGCAGAGCAACTTGCTCAGAGCACTTGCGTGCAGCAGCGTGCAGCAGCTTGCAGAGAGCAACTTGCGCGCAGCAGCCTGGAACAATGCAGCTTGCGCAGACCACTTTCGTGAGAAATCGCGCGGCGCAGTTCGAGAGGAAAGTAGGATGATGAGATGGAGCTCTCATGTGACCATACACACTGAGCATCGCCGCGCGCAGACACGCTCGCCGCAGCGATGTAAAAAGGTGTCTCCGCGGCTGGATGAGCGCCTGTGGAAAAATGCTTTCGGGCCAATCGTCCTCTAGTTCATCGGATCTGTTTTTTTCTGGCAAGGTGGGCGTGGCTCAAAATTAAACGATCGGAGGGGCGCAAGCCACAGGTTCTGGTCCATGTTTCCACTCACCAGGGATCCATTTTGGTACCGTTTTGCACAAAATTAAACAGTTTTGGTCCATGTTTTTTACTCACCAGGGATCCGTTTTGGAATTCCGTTTTGCTCAAAATTAAGCAGTTTTGGTCCATGCTTCCACTCACCGGGGAAAACCATTTTGGAGCCAGTCAGGTGAGCCACTCGGTCACTCCGGTGGCCGCGAAGGCTCGCATGGCCTCCGCCAGTGCGCGCCTGGCCTCCGTGGGCCAGGCCGCGGCCCAGTTGCGGGCGGTGTCGCTGGAGTCTGGGCGCGAAATGGACTTCACATGAGCCAGAACTAGGGCCCTCAGTAGTGCCCTTTTTACCCTTTTTTTGGGGAGGGTTCCATGACTGGGGTCATGATTTTGACGATTTCTAGGGGTTGTGCAAGTCAGAAACTGGGGAGGTTTCCCTTGAAGCCACCACTTGGGGGGTGACTTTGATAGTGGAAAGAAGGCGCCAGCATGAGCCATATCTAGGTCCCCCAGCTAGGTGCCAACTTTTACCCTTTCTTTTTTGGTTGGGAGGGTTCCCCTGCTAAAATTTCGACGATTCACTTATTCTAAGCTCTCAAATCTGGAGGACCTAGATAATCTTATTGACCCTTTATGCTCTTAGTCCACCAGTGTGTGTCATATCGTATCATACTGTGGGTGTGCGAAATCCTCTTAGGCACCACCTAAGAAGTCCTAGAATGATTCGATTCGCCTGTCAATACCAACAAATCACTGGTTTCCCAATGGCTTCAAAGTGGTGCAGGATTTCATCCATCCACAGTAAGGCACCCAGAATCTGGCATACTGTATAACGCACCCAGAATCTGGCAATGGAAGCGGACAAGGGACCCTTTCAACAGGGGGTCAACAGCAACCAAGCAATGTTGACCCTACATTACTGGGGTCCTGATTTTGACTGTTTCTAGGCGTTATCGCAGTCAGACATTGGGGTTATTTCCCTTCAAGCTACCACTTAGGGGGTGACTTTGACACTGGCAAGTTCTTTCCAAATTTGGGTATGATTTTTCTTTGGGGAGCCTCAGGTGGACCTCATTTAGGTGGGAATTTGTGCCCACCAACCATTGTGGAGGGTGTTCCTTAATGTTTGACCGCATATTCATCAACCCCAGGTTATTAATAGTCGGTGTTCCCCTCCAAAAGTGATGATTTTCCACTAAACTAAGCTGGGGTTGATTATTGTACATAAGTAAAAACTCGGGTAAGTGAACAGTCCCAACCAGAATTAGGTGCGGCCGCCTTTGTAGTTCTTGACATTGGGTTGGGTCGACCATTTTGCCACGTTCTTTGAGGTAGCCCTATGGGCGTCGTTTTCTAGTGTTTTGGGCAGAAATGACCCGATCAATGGCAACATGGGGCAGCGCGGTTCCGGAAATCTGTATTTTCAGCGGTGACCGTTTCGTTATCCTATTTTTGACCCACAGCCAAATGGAGGTAAGTAGCTCACCCAACTTCTCATGTCAGCGATGAATATCGACGCTGTCTCACGTGTAAATTTTCCGGCAGAGTCTAC